CTTTAAGTCCTGGACATTGTGCACCACATGTAACAGCACAGCATATCAGATCAGAGGTATTCCCACCCCCAGAGGCCTCTGACCCCATCCTATGTATTCCGAGCATATGGGAGAGGAGGCAAGGAGACAAATGGCGGACCACTGGGCCTGGTAAGAGTGCCGAAGCTGCTTTTCTTTCTGTGTAGATCCTGGTCATAACTTTCTGAAAGATACAAACTCCCTTGACTTGTTGTCCACCAAGGCTGTCCACCTGAGGCAGGCGGTCCTGTGGGATGTGCAGACAGCAAGGCCCAGGGCTTGGGGCCTTGACACCTTCTTCTCAGAGACAAGTCCAGGCAGAGTGGTTCAGGCCAGCGCCCGTGCTGGGTCTGCCACTTCTCCATGACCCAGAGCTCACAGCCTCTCTCCCCCAGCAGGTTACGGGCAGGACTTGAGTGGCTTTGGACAAGGCTTCTCGGACCCCAGCCAGCAGCCCCCTTCCTACGGGGGCCCCTCAGTGCCAGGGTCAGGGGGTCCCCCCGCCGGTGGCAGTGGCTTTGGACGAGGTCAGAACCATAACGTGCAAGGATTCCACCCTTACCGACGCTAGTCATGCGCCAACGGACATCAGCACCAGCTGAGACCAGGATTCGGAACTTATGAACTTGTGACAATCACAAACTTGGCAGAAAAATAGCGACTGAACCTGGGGGGGAGGGCGGGGCGGAGGCTGTGGAGGTGGCTGTGGGTGTCTGGACTGAGGTTTTTAAATATATTTCTTTCTTTCTCTGACCCATCAGCACAATAAAAAACAAGTCACTGGTTCAACAACAGGGTTTAAAAAAATGTCTTCAGCTTTAATTCAAACTTCAGGTTTCTTTTTCTTTTTTTCTTTTTTTTCCTCGAAATTATTTTCCTGAGCCTTTTGTTTTACCGTATATTGTAAACTTTTATGTTAAAGAAAAAAATATACATTTACAAATTGTGAGATTTTTAAGAGATTTTCTACAATGTATACTGGCTTATTTTTTAATTTAAAACAGGGTTCCGTAGGCACTGGTGGGAGTGGGGGCTTTTTTTGTCCCCTTGCTCCTGGCTTGGGGGTTGGGGACTTGTTGGTCCAGAAACTCTGGGAGCTAAAGATGAAATCTACTGAGTGTGTTTTTGTTTTTTGTTCATTCCTTGCTTTTGCTGGCTGGCCTGCTTAGTTGCATCTGCGGAGCACTGTGGGGTGGTTCTCATGCAGCTGTCTCACTCACGTGGCAATGCTGATATCCTAGGTGGTCTGGACCCCATGCAGCAGGTGATGCCTGGGCTGGAAGCTCACCTCCCTTGGGCACATGGCTTCAGGGCATTTCCCACTGACCAGTTTGACCCTGGTTTGAATAAAGAGAAGTGCGTTTGGATTAGAAACCCATATCTGTCCGTGTCTTTTCTGTCTCCATAATTTTCCTGTGTTTCCCCTCACTTGCCAGGGAAATATCTGGATCCAGACAAACCCTGAGTCCCAGTGATGCTCATGGCCTAGGGGCCCATGCCTATATGAGTCTTGGGCTGAGAGTTCTGGTTAGTTAGGAGTGACAGACATAGGACATCTATGGGTTGCCTCAGGTTACTCTGGTTTCACTGGCACCCCAGCTCTGGTGCCTAGGTCCATGCAAGCTACAGCTCCCATGTCAGCTTTTATTGTCTTTCACTCGTGGAATCCACAAGCTTTGTGCATGAGGAGGAGGATGTCTTTGAGGGGCAGTGGTCTCACAACCTGGTGCAGAAGGAAGATCAGGTTTTTAAAATGTAACAAGGGCCTAAAACTCCAAAACATACCAGGTGCTGTGATCCTGGCTACTCAGGAGGCTGAGATTTGAGGATTGTGGTTCCAAGCCAACCAGGAACATTGGTACAACTCTTTTTTTTGGGGGGGGGGTCCGGTCGTGGGGCCTGAACTCTGGGCTTGGGCGCTGTCCCTCAGCTCTTCAGCTCAAGGCTAGCGCTCTACCACTTGAGCCACAGCACCACTTGTGGCTTTTCTTTTTGCTTATGTGGTGCTGAGGAATCGAACCCAGGGCCTCAGGCATGCAAGGCAAGCGCTCTACCACTGAGCCACCTTCCCAGCCCGGTACAACTCTTACGTCCAATAACCTACTCAGAAAAGGCCAGAAAGGATGCTGTGGCTCAAATGATAGAATGTTAGCAAAGAAGTTCAGGGACAGTGTCCAGGCCCTGTGTTTAAGCCCCAGGACCCACAAAAAAATTCCAAGTTAGGCACCAGTGACTTACACCTGTAATCCTAGCTACTCAGGAGTCTGAGATCTTAGCATCACGGTTCAAAGCCAGTCCATGCAGGAAAGTCTGTGAGACTCTTATCTCCAGATAACCACCAGAAAACCAGAAGTGGCACTGTGGCTCAAGTGATTGAACGCTGAGTGCTTGCCTTGAGCAGAAGAGCTCAGGGACAGCGCCTAGGACCAGAGTTCAAGCCCCACGACTGACAAAAAAAAAAAAAAATTCAAAACATACTGAAAGTCTATGGAGTGCAAGACTTGAGAAAGTGTATTTGGGGTGAGATAGGGAAAGGAATGCCCCTGAACATTGGTACCAGCTGCCCTCAACTGGCCCTGGCACACGGGTTGAGATCTGGTGCAGTCATCCCATATACTGTGCCAGCGCAATGGGAAGTTACATGCTTCCACAGGCAGAAAATAAACAGTCTTGGGCTGTGAATGTGGCTTAGTGGTAGAGTGCTTGTCTCACACGCATGAAGTCCTGGGTTCAGTTCCTCAGTACAACAAGCAGAAAAAAACGGAAGAGGTGCTGTTGCTCAAGTGGTAGAGTGCTATCCTTGAACAAAAGAAGCTCAGGGACAGTGGCCAGGCAGGCCCTGAGTTCAAGCTGCAGGACTGGCAAAAAAAAAAAAAATTTCCAGTCAGCAAAGGAATTCCTGGGATGGCAGGGAGAGCTGCAGTGTCTGCAGGTGACATCGGGATTTATACAAGGTCCAGACACTTGTATCCTGGGGACTGGGAGAGGCCACTTCTGCATAAAATGGTCTCAGGTAGGACTCACTTTCTTGGTTACAGGTCCCTCCAGCCAGCACTAGCTTCTACCAAAAAGTTACTGGGAAAGTGGGTGGGGCTGCAGGCCCAACTATCCTTGCTTTCTAGGGAGATCACCTGGACTAGCAACATCAGCCTTAAGTGAAAAAAAAATCTAAGGGACAGTGCCTAGGCTCTGAGTTCCAGCCTGGCTTTTTTTTTTTTTTCAAGGAGACCACTATCTGCCCTTTCTCAAAATGCACAATAACATAAACATTCATAACATACCTCTTAACAAGTTCTTCCTGTGGGTGCTGTATCCTCAAACCACACCTTCTAGCACACTGTGGACAACTCATAAATTACTTGCTGTGGAAGCTGTTGAGTGGAGATTGTGTAGAATGGCTGGGGGGTGGGGTGCTGGCAAACACATATTCAAAGTTCCTTCCTTGAGACAAAGGGTAAACAATACAGTGGGACTCAGTAAGCAGTGTTGAAAATGAACTATACAATTTGTAGATGGGGATAGGAGGGGGTAATGGAGTGAGTGAGGGAAGGGGTAACACTGTCCAAAAAGAAATTACTCATAGCCGGGTGCTGGTGGCTCACACCTGTAATCCTAGCTACTCAAGAGGCTGCGATCTGAGGATCGAGGTTCAAAGCCAGCAGGAAAGTCCATGAAACTCTTATCTCCAATAAGCCACCAGAAAACTGGAAGTGGTGCTGTGGCTCAAGTGGTAGAGTGCTTGGCTTGAGCTGAAGAGCTCAGGGACAGCGCCCAGGCCCAGAGTTCATGCCCCACGACCGACCAAAAAAAAAAAAAAAAGAAATGTACTCATTACCTGATGTGTAACCCCTATGTACATCACCTTTATAATAATAAAAAAAAAATAGTTCCGTCCTTGGATACTCTTAGGAGAGGAACGCAAAGGGACAATGCCTTACGTGCACCTGATCATACAAAACATTTATTGAAATGAACTCCAGAAATGAATTTTTTTTTCCTTTTAGCTGTTGTTTTCATTTATATTTGGGAGGGTAGGGGGAGGCACAGAAATGGAGGGACCAGTGAACAAATGCAGCAATGTTACTCAAAGGACACTTAAAAATAAACTATACAAACTTGAGGGCAGGGATGAGGGGAAACAGTGGGAGCAAGGAAGTAGTGGACATTGTCCAAAAAGGAATTACTCAGAGCCGGGTACCTATAATCCTAACTACTCAGGAAGCTGAGATCTGAGGATCATGGTTCAAAGCCAGCCGGGATAGGAAAGGCCATGAGACTTATCTCTAATAAACTACTCAGAAAAAGCTGGAAGTAGCACTGTGGCTACTAGAGAACTAACCTTGAGCAAAAGAGCTGAGGGACAGCACCCAGGCCCAGATTTCAAGTCCCATGACTGACAAAAGCTTCCTCCTTGCATTTGAGCCATGCACCCTCCCCCACAAATGAGGCTTTAAGTCATTCACACCTGTAATCCTAGATCTAAGGATAGCATCTGGAAGCCATCCGATTTTTCTTGTTGTTGTTGGTCGTGGGGCTCGCGACTTCCGATTTTCTGGTGGTTAATTGGAGATAAGAGTCTCATGAGGACTTTCTTGCCCAAGCTGGCTTTGAACCTGGATCCTCAGATCTCAGCCTCCAGCTAGAATTACAGGCGTAAACCAGGAGCGCCCGACCCAAGTGATTCTTATCTCCAATAAACCAGCAAAAAGAGCTGGAAATGAAGCTTGGCTCGCTTATTTCGCCACACACGCACACACGGAAGCTACTTTGGGAGATGGAGTCTCAGGATTTTTTTTTTTTTTTTTTTTGGCCAGGGTTGGCTTTTAAACGCTATCCTCTTGATCTCAGTCTCTGGAATCGCTAGGATTACAGGAGCGAACCACCGTGCGCGTTGTTAGTAGTGTGCATTTTAACCTCCTGACAGGAGGGGGCGATCAAGCGACTCAGGAAACCGGAAGCGCGCGTGGCTGAGGGGGCGGGACTGGCCGGCTTCGCGATAACTGCGCAGTCGCACCTGGAGCGGCCTTTTCCCAGCGGCAGGCAAGATGGTGAGTACTCCGTGTCTGCACTCCAGTGTTGAACGTATCCGGTGCCATCCGTGCTCTGGTTGATTGACGCCGGCCGGGTTCAGACTCTGCTGCCTCGGCAGCTCGCTCTGAACCTTTGAGACCGCAAATGGGGGACTCGGGGCGGGCTTAGTCGGTGTGGGGACCACCGGAGCGTGGAAAGGCCTGTTTTGGCCCGCAAGCCCGGCCAGGGTCCCGTAGCCCGGGCCGCACGCGTCACCCTGTGAGCGTCTGGAAGTAATTAGTTCCCGCGGGCTCCGGAGATGGGAGGCCCTTGGGGCTGCCTGGGGTCGCAGGGATTGGGTCTCCAATACCCGCTCACCACCGCTGACTCGCACAGGCGGAAGTGGAGCAGAAGAAGAAGCGGACCTTCCGCAAATTCACCTACCGTGGCGTGGACCTCGACCAGCTGCTGGACATGTCCTAGTAAGGGGCGCGGCAAGGGGACGCGAATCTACGTGGGAGAGGCCCGGGGAGGAGGGGTGGTTGTTCGGCTCGGGCACCTGGTTTTGTTATTTATTTTGGTACTTGTCTTGGTACTTGTTTTGGTACCTTGTCAACTCAGGGTCACGGAGCTGTCGTTGAGCAAAAGAAGCTCAAGGCTAGCACTCATCACTTGACCCTTAGCTCCACTGCTTCAAACCGCGGTCCTCAGATCTCAGCCTCCTGGGTAGCTAGGAAGGATTACAGGCGTGAGCCACCCGTCCCTGGCTGGTGCAACTTTCTCAGAAGGAGCCCTTGGTTGATATTCCAGCCTTTGGACTAGGTGCCACACTGGTATCTCGTTAGATTGGATGGGGGTTGGGGTAGCTTCTGGCAGTTTTCCAACTGCTTGGAGATATTCGACCACGGCTTCATGTGCTGCAAAAACCAAACAGGTAACAGTCCTGGAGACCTGTCCAGTGCCTTGTAGGGTGTTTCCTAGGCAACAGCCTTTTTTTTTTGGTCAGTCATGGGCCTTAACTCTGGGCCTGGGCGCTGTCTCTCAGCTCTTCAGCTGAAGGCTAGTGCTCTACCACTTGAGCTACAGCGCCACTTCTGGCTTTTTCTGCTTATGTAGTGCTGAGGAATTGAATCCAGGGCTTCATGCATGCAAGGCAAGCACTCTACCACTGAGCCACCGTCTCAGCCCTGGCAACAGTCTTTTTAGAGCAGTCACTGGGCCAAATGGGCAAACCAACTCCTTTGCATCCAGAGAGCAGACTTGCCCCATCTTCAGCAATTATCTGTCAGCTTGGAGGGTAACTACCTAAGAATGGAACCAAGTCATATCTTCAACCTCTCCTATGTTCTCTGTAGGACTTTGGCTTTGCTGTCCAGTTGCTGCCTTTATTTGGCTACTCAACCCTGAATTGCTTTCTTCACTCGCTTTTGCATGACAGTACAACCCTCCTGGGGCAGGGCTTGAAATCTTTTCCTAGGCAAAACCCCCGTGCTTTTTTGCTCAAAGCCAGCACTACCACTTGAGGCACATAGCCATTTCCAACATTTCGGGGGAGGGTGGGGATTGGAGATAAAAGTCACAGACTTTTCCAGCCCAGTCTGGCTTGAAGCTGCAGTCCTCATCTGGCCTCCTAGGGTAGCTAGAATCACAAGCATGAGCTACCAGTGCCCGACTCCTTTATTCCTTTTTTACAGCCTGGTAGTATTTTGTTTTGGTTGATCATGGGGCTCAAACTCTGGTCCTGGGCACTGTCCCTAAGCTCTTCAGCTTATGTCTAGCACTCTACCTCTTAAGCCACAGCACCATTTCCAGTTTTCTGGTGGTTAGTTGGGAGTTTCCTGCCTGGGCTGGCTTTGAACTGGGATCCTCAGATCTCAGCCTCCTGAGTAGAATTACAAGCTTGAGCCACCGTTGTCCAGTGTCCACACCACTGTTGTTCCACCTTTCCCAGTGAGCAGCTGATGCAGCTGTACAGTGCCCGGCAGCGGCGGCGGCTCAACCGGGGTCTGCGCAGAAAGCAGCATTCACTGCTGAAGCGCCTCCGCAAGGCCAAGAAGGAGGCACCGCCCATGGAGAAGCCAGAAGTGGTGAAGACACACCTGCGAGACATGATCATCCTGCCTGAGATGGTAGGAAGCATGGTCGGTGTGTACAATGGCAAGACATTCAACCAGGTGGAAATCAAGGTGTGTAGCAATTGCTTGGCTGCTGGGGTGGTGGGTCAGTATCACCCATGTCCCTGACCTCCAGCTTTGCTCTTGGCCTCCATAGCCTGAGATGATCGGCCACTACTTGGGCGAGTTCTCCATCACCTACAAGCCTGTGAAGCATGGTCGACCAGGCATTGGAGCCACCCACTCATCACGCTTCATCCCCCTCAAGTAACCTGTGCAGCCAATAAAGGCATATGTTTCTACCTTCCAGTGCAATTTGTCCTTCCTTCTACCTGCATATGGAACTCTGGGAGGGACTTGCCATTAACACATCCCCAGAAGTGTCCAGGGGTCTGGTTCAGACTACCCTAAGATTCAGGTCCATGGTAAAAGCTGGGTAATGTCTGCTTCCTGGCCAGAATGGATGTGGGGCTGGATAGTACAACTGAAGAGGGAATTAGGAGTGGTGAACCCCTTGTCTATGGCCCATCCCAGGTTAGCTTCTTGTCCCTTATACAACTTCCACCAGGTGCTTTCTGATATTTAGCCACTCAGGTGGCACCTCTTTTTGTTGGTTGTGGGCTTGAACTCTGGGCTTCGGCGCTGTCCTTGCACTCTTCAGCTCAAGGCTTGAGTCACAGCGCCACTTGCGGTTTTCTAGTGGTTTATTGGAGATAAGAGTCTCACAGACATTCCTGCCCGGGCTGGCTTTGAGCCGTGATTCTCAGATCTCAGCCTCCTGAGTAGGATTACAGGCGTGAGCCACCGGCACTTGGCTTCAGATAGCACTTCTTAAGCATTATATTTTCCCTAGCTACTGGAGGTAATATGTGACCCCACAACCTCAACTTTACTGCTAAAGTCCTCAGAACACTGCATGCTTTCTGAGATTCATGTCATATACCACAGTGTTCACTGAGTAGGTTTGCACTATTCCTCTGAAGGGAAAACACTGGCCCAAGAGCTTCTGGAGAGGGCAGTCAGAATAGAAGGTTTCACCTGTTTATAGTCTCCCTGGTGGATTATAGAGAAAGTTGATGGCACTGACCTTTTGATCTAAGCAGATGGGAGAGCGGAGGTACTTGCCTGAGCAGTGTAGTTAGCCATTGTACAAAATAAGCATTGGAGGTGAAATACAGTCAAGTATGTGAAGAACCCTCACCTTGTCAATGGATGTAGGTGAAGTGTCCCTCTAAAAGTAGGGACTCTTCATTTAGTGTCCTTGACTTGGATCAAAAGAATTTCTGGACGAGTTATAATGGTAAGAAAACTTGGCAGGGCTTCATTGAACAAGCAAGCAGAAAGGGGAAGGCACTCTTAACTGAGTACTGTTGAGGAAGAATACATTTTCTTGCCTGTCAGGAGTGTTTATATGGCAAAGACGGCCCAATTTCAAAGTTGAACAGATAGTTGTTTCTTGTGTGTTTTTTTTTTTTTTTTTTGTCGGTCATAGGGCTTGAACTCAGGGCCTGGGAGCTGTCCCTGAGCTCAAGCCACAGCTCCACTTCTGGTTTTCTGGTTTATTGGAGATGAGCATCTCACACTTTCCTCCCCAGGCTGGCTTTGAACTGTGATCCTATGATCACAGCTTCCTGACTATTTAGGATTCCATGTGTGAGCCACCAGTGTCTAGCCAGATCTTTGCTCTCATCATTGCTAAGCCACTTTTCTAGCCCTGGTTAAGAAGTTTCTTATATTTTGAGCGAGCATTTCTCTCAGGAAGGAATGTATCCTGTTGCTTTTTTTGTGTGTGTGTGTCAGTTGTGGGCTTGGGTGCTGTCCCTCAGCTCAAGGCTAGCTCTCTCCCACTTGAGCCACAGCGCCACTTCCTGCTTTTTCTGCTTATGTGGTGCCAAGGAATTGAACCCAGGGCCTCATGCATGCAAGGCAAGCACTCTGCCCATGAGCCACCTTCCCAGCCCTCCTGTTGCTAATCTTTGGAGCATAGATTGTACTTTTATTTGTCTACCATGTTTCTGAGTTGCCTTCACCTGGCCTCATTTTCCCTAAAATGACTTTGGTCCCTTAATGTTAAGAGAACTAGATGGATGAATATCTCCTGTATTAGCTTTTTTTTTGGGGGGGGGGTCGGTTGTGGGACTTGAACTCTGGGCCTGAACACTGTCCCTCAGCTCTTCAGCTCAAGGCTAGTAGCTCTACCACTTAAGCCACAGTGCTACTTCTGCCTTTTTCTGTTTATGTGGTGCTGAGGAATTGAACCCAGGGCCTCATGCATGCAAGGCAAGCACTCTTACCACTGAGCCACCTTCCCAACCCTCCTGTATTAGCTTTAAGCTTGAGGTTTTAAAAAAAATCTGTAACCTTGAGGAGACTAGGATCAAATATGACAAATATCAAAGTAGGGCTGGGAATGTAATAGAGTTGCCCAGCATCACGAAGCCCTAGGTTTGATTCCTCGGTATCCACCTACACAGAAAAACGTGGAAGTGGTGCTGTGGCTGAAGTGATAGAGTGCTAGGCTTAGCCTTGAGCAAAAGAAGCCCGGCAGTGCCTAAGCCCTGAGGTCAAGCCCCAGGACTGGCAAAAAAAAAACCCTCAGGGACAGTGCCCACGGCCTGAGTCCAAGTCCCAGGACTGCCCCTCCTCTTTTCAAATATATGTATGACTAAAGGAAAAGAATAGTGACCTGTGGTCAGTCTGGCTGGGAAGGAGCTGGTGCAGTGAAGGAAAGTAGCCATGAAAAAACTGGCAGGCAAGCTAGACAATCCTGGCTCATACAATCCTAGCTAACTTGGGATTCTGGTATCTGAGAGTTATGTTTGAAGCCAGCCTGGGCACTGAAGTCTGAAACTCCAATGAACTATCAGAAAGCTAGAATTAGAACTGTGGCTCATGTGGTAGAGCACTAACCTTGAACACAAAAGCTCTTGTCCTGAGTTTAGGCCCCAGTACCAAACAACCTGGCAGATGGGAAGTTCACTGGCTACACTGGGTTGTTTCCCTGCTGACTTAAATAGACATGGAGCACCAGGGAAACGTGGGCTGTGGTGGCTGGCAGCCTGATGGGAAGTTAGTATGATGTACCTCCACCATGCTATTAACAGCATACTATGATTGTCAAGCATAGATGAACAAGACTGCTCATAGCTGCCTGTATGACCACATCTGTCCAGGTGCCTTCGCCTGTCCCAGCTTCACAAGTACCAAGTATCCTTGAGGAACAGAAAGGGAAGAGGCTGTGGAAGGTTCCTATTGCAACCTCAATGGCAGAGTGCATATGAGCCCCCAATTCCCACATACCCCTTACAAGGTAAAGTTAGGTGCCAGTGTTTCAAGCCTGTAGCCCTAACTACTCAGGAGGTTAAGATTTGACAATAGGTTTTTTTTGTTTGTTTGTTTTTTGTCATGGGCTTGAGCCATGGCTCCACTTCCAGTTTTCTGGTGGTTTATTGGAAATAAGAGTCTCACGGAGCCGGGTACTGATGGCTCACACCTGTAATCCTAGCTACTCAGGAGGCTGAGATCTGAGTATCACAGTTCAAAGCCAGCCCTGGCAAGGAAAGTCCGTGAGACTCTTAACTCCAACAAACCACTAGAAAACCAGAAGTGGCGCTGTGGCTCAAGCAGTAGAGTGCTGGCCTTGAGCTGAAGAGCTGACAGTGCCCAAGCCCAGAGTTCAAGCCCCATGACCGACAAAAGTTTCACGGACTTTCCTGCCCGGACTGGCTTTGAACCATGATCCTTGTATCTCAGCCTCCTAAGTAGCTAGGATTACAGGCGTGAGCCACCAGTGCCTGGCTGAGAACAGGTTTAAAGCCAGCTCCAGTAAGGAAGTCCCTGAGATTCCACTGAATTGGAGCTGTGACTCAAGTGGTACAACACTAGCCTTGAGCAAAAGAAGCGCTCAAAGACAGAGCCTGGAGCCAACACACAAAAACAAAAGGTTGCTAGAGCCATATGAATTTCTGTAATCCCAGCAGTTGGGATCCTATATGGATTTGACATCAAAAGCCAAAATAGAAGCTGGGAATGTAGCTTAGTGGTACAGTGCTTCCCTAGCATGTATGAAGCCCTGGGTTCAGTTCCTCAGTACCACATAAACAGAAAAAGCAGGAAGTGGCACTGAGGCTCAGTGGTAGAGCTCTAGGCTTAAGCACAGAGAAGCTCAGGGATACAGCCCAGGCCCTGAGTTCAAGCCCCAGGACTGCCAAAAATATATATAAATGGTTATAACCAAGGCCTTTGAGACAATTTTACTGGTTGGTACTTATGTAGACACGGTAGTTATACCAGGTTCACCTAGAGGGAGGAGAAATCCAAGGGTTAGACCTTGATGGAGGTAGAAGTGCAGTTTTGATAGCATGTGGCTATGCCAAACTACTAAGTGCTGGAGATGGAGTTTCTTGCATCTGTACAGACTTGGCCAGGCTGTGAGTCACCTGCAGGCCCTAAACAGAAGCATTCCAGATGGCTGTGTGTCCCCTGGCTCTGACAAGTGGAAATGCAGTGCTTTGTGGTGCACATCTGTAATCCCAGGAGATCCAGCCTTGATTACTTAGTGAGACCCCATCAAAGGCCCAGCACTCAAAAAGTGTTGGGTTTAAATTGCCCTGTGGTTAACACAGGGAAGATAGAGCATTGGGCTATAGACAGAGGACTAAACGTCCAGTTCTTATGAGCTGATTCATCTAGGTTCCATCTAGTAAGGTGACATCCAGAGCCAAAGAGGACTGCTCCCAAACCTTCAGGTTCCATCCACATCTGTCAGCTACCTTCAGGTCCTGGATCTGGCCACTTCCTTCCAAGCCCAGTGTTATCTGGCCTGGCTGCCACCACTTCCTACCCGATACCAGTTTTAAAAAATCCCCAATGTCAGTGGGGGAGGGGGGGAAGGGGGGAGGAGAAGGGTTGAGATTGGGGGGGAGGGGGAGGCTGGGAAGGGATGTGAAGGGTAAACCAAAGGAGGAGGCTGCAATGCTTGGTAAGAAATGTACGCATTATCCTGCCCATGTAATTGTAACCCCTCTGTACAGTATGTTCACAAATAAAAAATAAATAAATAAAAATCCCTGGATTAGCCGCTACTCAGGAGGCTGAGATCTGAGGATCTCGGTTCAAAGCCAGCCCGGGCAGGAAAGACCCTGAGACTGCTATCTCCAATAAACCACCAGAAAACCGGAAGTGGCGCTGTAGCTCAAGTGGTAGAGCGCTTGCCTTGAGCTGAAGAGCTGAGGGACAGGGCCCAGGCCCAGAGTTCAAGTCCCACGACCGACAAAAAAAATCCCTGGATTTTCCAAGCACCTAAATCC